TAGGACCCTTCCCTTTCCTCCCTTCCAGGAGCACTGTGTTGGTTCTGGATCAGGTCACCTGATGACCTATGTCTAATTGTTTCATCTTTCAAAGCCTCAGTCCCCCTGCTTTGCAGGGTCCCCGGAAGGATGATATACCATAAAAGTGCAAAGTGCACGGTGCACGGTAAATGGTGGGCACTCTCGTGGTCTCATTCCATTAGGCAATCAACAAACTTCAGCACCCTCTGTGTGCCAGGCCCTGTGTTGGGATCTGGAGACAAAGGTGTGCCTTCCTGGGAGGGCGGGGAGACAGACAATAAGTAAGTAAACGTACCAATGAAGAGGCAGGTTTCAGGCTGTGATGAATACCAGTAGGAAACAGGTGATGGGACCCAGAGGGCCAGGGGTGGCCTTAGAGAAAGACATAGAGGCAGGAGCCCTAGACAAGAAGGCTCACACCCCCCCCCACCCCACCTCCCAACCCCTCAGAGGCAAGAGGAGAGCAAAGAGAAGCCACTGGAGGGTTTGTGGTTTTTTAAAGATTTTTATTTATTTATTTGAGAGAGAGTTGGAGCACAAGCAGGGTGAGGGGCAGAGGGAGAAGCAGACTCCCTGCTGGGGGGGGGGCAGGGAACGACTCCATCCCAGGACTTTGAGATCATGACCTGAGCTGAAGACAGACGTTTAACCGACTGAGCCACCCAGGTGTCCCCCACTGGAGGTTTTTTAAGCAGGGGAGTAGCATAGTTGGAATCAGGAGTTTTTTTTGTGTGTGTGTGTGTTTTTTTTAAGATTTTATTTATTTATTTATTCATGAAAGGCAGAAGGAGAAGCAGGCTCCCCGTTAAGTAGGGAGGCCGATGCGGGACTCAATCCCAGGACCCCGGGATCATGACCTGAGCCAAAGGCAGCCGCTTCACCATCTGAGCCACCCAGGCGCCCTGGAATCAGTTTTTTTTTTTTTTTTTTAAGATTTTATTTATTTGAGGGAGAGAGAGGGAGAGAGAGCACAAGCGGGGGGAGGGGCAGAGGGAGAGGGAGAAGCAGTCTCCCCCGCCGAGCAGGGAGCCTGATGCAGGGCTCGATCCCAGGACCCTGGGGTCACGACACGAGCCGAAGGCAGACGCGCAACGACTAAGCCACCCAGGCACCCCTGGAATCAGGTTTTAAAAGGTGACTCTAGCACCAAGTAGAGGAGGGACCAGGGCAGGCACAGTGGCTGTAAGGAGACCTCTTAGGCGGTGGAAATGATCTAGAATGATGGAAAAGGGCATGGTCTCCTTGGACTTGCAGAAGATCTCCATCTAGGAGGCATGGAAGCATGCCTGTAGATTCTAGGGCGTGGGATGGCTGGGTGTGGTGACCCAGGAGATGAGGATAGACAGTGGGCAGGCCAAGGATACCTCGGGAGTTGGACTGTCACAGTCTGCCCTGCTAGTCCACTCTGCCTCCTTGTCCTCCCCGCTCCATGGCTAACCTCGTGGGCTAAAGCCCCCCGGGGGCCCCTGTCCGCAGGCTTCCTTTGGGGTTCAGCCCCTGGGAGGCCTGGCTGGACAAGACGAGACGAGGGTAAGATTTATTTCCCCAGCCCCTACCCCAGGCAGCAGGTGGACTGGTGCCGAGGGTCTCTGCTGCAGGCCACCACTCCAGCTCCTGCGGTCCGGGCTGAGCTTAGTGGGTCAATGGATCCCCCCTCCCAGTCCCTCCAGTGGCCAGGTCTGTTGGCCCTGGTGGTCTCCTAGCCCTCTGTAAACAGCCCCTCCCATCTAGCCCCCTCGATCACCCATGTGAGGGTGCCCTCTGTTCCCTGCTGGCTCCCCGCTGGGCTTAAGGAGTTTGGTAATGACAACAGACAACATTTTCGGAGCGCTTAGTATTTGCCGGCCGGGCCAGGTGCTTGCATTCACTGCCGCAAGTCACCACCCATCCTGCTTCCAGCCGCGGGAGACACTGCCGGCCCCGCTCTCCTCCCAAAACCCTCCTCACTCTTGCCCATCATGGCCCTGGTTTTCCTCTGTGCTCTCTCCAGCTGCTCCTTCTGAATCGCTTCTGACTCTGCCTTCTCTCCCTGATCTGGGAGTGGGGCCCGCCCCCTTCTCTCCCAGGCTAAGCCCATCCTTTCCCACGGCCACGGATGCCTCTGTATGCTGGGGACCCCGAGTCTACGTCTGCAGGCCAGACATGCTGTCTGAGCTCTAGCCCTCCGGGTTGAGATGTCTCTATTCTATGTCTCTATTCTCTATACAAGCATCTCAAACTCAGCAAGCCCCGAACAGAACTCCAGACTCTTCCCCGTGTCTCCCTCTCCTCTGCCACCTTCCTCACCCACCCACAGGCTCAAGCCAGACCCCCGGAGCCATCCGTGCCACCTGCCTCTGCGGTCACTGCCACTCACCCAGTGTCTAGATTCCACCTCCCAAATACATCATCTCTTCCCGGACGCTGGCAACAGCACCCCCTCTTGCCCTGATACAGTCCCATTGCGATGAAAAGAAAACCCCAATTCCTCACGGTGGCCTCCCACCTCCATATTCTCTCTCCCCCTTCGCACTCTGTTGCTTTGCTTGCCTTCTTTTAGTTCCTAGGAGAACTGAATCTGTCTCCCCTCCCCTCCCTCAGCCCTGCATGCCCTCTGTAAACTGTCTCTTGACCCCTGGGCCCCAGTCCCTCAGGGCCCCTGCAGGCTTCCCTCGGCTCGGCAGGGCTGGGAACTCCTGTTCCTCTCCCAGCCTCCCGCTTACAAGTCCCTTCGCCAGAGGGCTTTCCTGGACCTCCAGGTGCCTGCAGGCTCTTGCTCCCAGTTCTTGTTCTTCTCTGTCACAGCACCGGCCTCTATTGTAGCCACCGTCATGTGTGAATTGATTTGTGTCACATGTCCGGGCTCTGCCCGTACAGAGGCTCCAGCAAGGCAGGGACTGGTCCTGTCTCTTAGCAAGAGCTTGGTAGGTGGTAGGTGCTCAGGCTGTTGAGTGACTAGATCCCCATTTCACAGGTGGGAAAACTGAGGCTTGGAGATTAAGACTCTATCCCTGGTCCGTTTGTGCTGTTCCCAGGTGAGCCACAGCCTGCTCTGGGGTCAGAGGAGGGTCAGGTTCAAATGAGTGTGAGGAAAAAACGACTCTAAAACGCTCAGCCCTGCACCTGGTGGGTGGTAAGCACTCAGTATTATTCCCTACCCCAGTGTGTGACCTGCACCCTGAGGGAGGGCGGGGCTGCCCCTCACACCCACTTTGGGATTCCAGCAGTAGGGATCCCCTGAGGTTGTGGCCTCACCCCATCCCTGCAACACCAGACTGTATGAACAGGTCAGAGCCCACGGAGCAATTCAGGCAGGGGCTCCACTTACGGGTCTCCCTCAGCCCCTCCAAAGCTACCCGAATAAATCCATCCTCCAAGTAAAAACCATGAGTTCCCTGGACAGGTGTTCCTAAAGGCAAGGCCCCGAACCCCCTCCCCTCGGTCAGACTGCCACCCCTAGTGCCCAGCGGGAGAGGCTCTGGTGCCACCCTGACTTGGCAGTGTCCTGCTCTGGATACCCTGGTCACACCCACCCCCTGCTGAGTTCTCTGAGTCAGACACTGAGTCCTGGGGTCTCCTGGCCATGCCCGGTCGCTAGGCCCGGGGCCCCAGGACACTGCAGCCCTCCAGGGCCTCCCTTCCAGACCAGTGGTCAGGCCTGGCCCCTCTCCAGCCTTACCAAGCTCAAGGCCCCTCCCCAGCCCCTGCCAACCCCTGCCCTGGGGCCCTGCTGTGCCCCTCCCCAGCCCCCTGGGCCCTCAAGCAGCACCCCCCTCCTCCCGGCTGTTAGCCTGGGAAGGGGGCCAGGCCCTGAGCTCAGACCTTGGCGATTCCAGAGTGTCTGAGGCCCAGAGCCAGCCCCGCCAGCCCGGCCAGACAAGGCGAAGGGGGTGGGGGCAGGGTGGGCACCAGGAAGCCATTTAGAGTCAGGGGTGGAGGGGGTGGCGGGGTGGCCGTTGGCAGGGAAGCTGGGTCTCCAGCTTTGTTCTTTCTGCTCTCTTCTGGACCCCTCACGGAGCCCCTGGCCAAAGGGTGCCCTCTCCCTGAGCCTCTCCTCAGAGGGGAGTGGACCGGCACTAATGAGAAGTGACTCTGGGGTGGTGTGAGCCCCCCGCCTGCGCAAGGGAGGCTGGGAAAGGGCTAAGAGGCCAGGGTTCCAGCTCCACCTGGCCGCCCGGCGGCCGCGTGACCCGGGCAGAGCCCGGGTTCCTCCCCCAGCCTCGGTTTCCCGCTCCGACGCCGCCTCGCCGCCTCGCCGCCTCGCCGCCCCGCCCGGAGGAATCCGGCGGGCCGGCCGGCGTCCCAGGTGAGGGCCCTCTGGAAAGCGCCCAGCGCGGCGGCGGGTTCCGGCGGGGCGGGCATCTGGGGCGGGGACCGCCCCCCGGCCTCCGCCCGCCCGCACGCCCTCGCTCCTCCGGGCGGCCGCCGCGACGCTTGAAACAGAAAAAAAAAAAAAAAAAAAAAACTGTCTCCCTGGCCCGGGGCCAGCGTCCCAGCCCCCCTCGCCGCCGCCGCCGCGCCGCAGCCAGGGAAAACAACTGCTCACTTCTCCCTGCGTCCGCCCCGCGCGCTCCCTGCTTCCCGGCGGCCGCGGGAGCCCAGCCCGGCCGGGGGAGGCGCGGAGCCGGCCGGCCGCCCGGCCTTCCTCTCCCCTCGCTCCTCCTCTCCGCCTCAACTCGCTCGGCCTCCGCGCGGCCGCCTCAGTTTGGGGCCTTCGCAGCCCGCCCCCCTCTCCGGCCCCGGCTCGTGGCGGGGCTCCTTCCCGGGGCTGTGGAAGTTTCTGGGCTCCCCGCAGTCCAGCCTCCATCTCTTTGCCTCGCACCGGCCCCCCCCCCCCCACCGCCCGCGCCTGCCGTCCCCTCCCTGCGCGCTTCCTCTGTTCCTCTCCCTCGCTGCCCTCTCTCCCCTCTCCCGGGGCTCCCGGCTTGCTACCCCACCCCCCCGGGCGCCGCGACCATAGCCCCGGCCCGGGCGCGCCCCCCCGGGTCCTGCGGCCCCGGATGCCCGGGCCCCGCGGGGCTGCTGGCTGCCTGGCCCCTGAGATGCGCGGGGCGGGGACGGCGGGGCTGCTGGCGCTGCTGCTGCTGCTGGGCCCGGGCGGCGGGGCCGAGGGGGGGCCGGCGGGCGAGCGGGGCGCCGGCGGGGGCGGGGCGCTGGCCCGCGAGCGCTTCAAGGTGGTCTTTGCGCCGGTGATCTGCAAGCGGACCTGTCTCAAGGGCCAGTGTCGGGACAGTTGTCAGCAGGGCTCCAACATGACGCTCATCGGAGAGAATGGCCACAGCACCGACACGCTCACGGGCTCCGGCTTCCGCGTGGGTGAGGGCCGGGGGCACGGGCCGGGGGAGCGGGAAGGCCGGCGCCCCGACAAATGCGGGAGCCAGGGCGGAGCAGGGTATATGACACTGGGGGGCCGGGGGTGCAGAAAGCGGAGCTCTGGCGGCCTGGGGCCCCAGGGACAATGAGGGGCTTGGGAGGCTGGAGTCCTGGGGCCAGAGTCCGAGGGGCGGCCTGGACCAGGACTTCAATGCTTGGGGTTAGCGTTGAGGCCTGAGGTGTGGGGTCATGCTGGGATCCCGGATGACACAGGCCTCTGGGAAGGCGCTGGGTCCTGAGAGGGAGTCAGGGTCAGTGCACAGGGGCTTTTGAGGGATGTGAGCTAGGGCCAGGAGGTCGCAGAGAAGGGGTAAATATTCCCCTAAGAAACGGATTTGCTGGAAGAAACAGGAAAAGTCCTTTCAAAATGTCTACAGCAGGGCCTACCAGGGGTAGACACCTGCCTGCTCTGGGAGGAACCAAGGCCAGGGCTGGGGGTCCAGAGGTTAGATATTGGCAAGGTCCCGGAGGGAAGAGGTGCTGAGGCCTAAGAGTGGAGTGCAGGCCTGGAGTTGGGGGCTGGTTTGGGTCCTCAGTCCCCCTTTTTCCTGGTGTCCCATCTATGCCTTCCCCATAAGCTCTCAAGACCTCTACCTCAGAGTCTCCCCTCCCCAACAAGCCCTCATGACTCCCCAGCTCCACTTGGAGTCTACCCCTTCCCCAGCGTCTCTCTTCAAAGGGCCAGGCCTGGGGCTCAGCTCACCTCCCACCAGGGCCCTGTGGGCCAGGCTGGGGGAGGCGTCCCAGCAGTAATTATCCTCCTGGACAGGGTAATTAGGCTGGGCCCAGGATGGCACCAGCAAAACGGCCCCTCTTACACATTCCTATACTCACGTACCGACTCACAGACCCAAGGAACCCCACTGATATGGTTCATAGTTCTCGTGAGATGTGTGTGTGTGTGTGTGTGCATGCATAGGCTTTAGAGTGACACTCTGTGATTAATTACATGTTTCTTTGTGTTGTCTTGGGTGCATGTCTCCAGTCACTATGGGAGTGTTTCTGTGAGCTTGTGTTGGTGCCAGAATGAATGTGTGTTTGTGTGTGTGCGTGTGTGTGTGAGAGAGAAAGAGAGACAAGATGACCATGCGTGTGAGTGTACGTGGGCCCAGCCTCCCAGACCCCCTGGCCATCCTGCCCAGGCTGCTGTCTCCATCCGTGTTGCCCACATCCCCCAGGCTTGGTGCCCAGGCCGCAGTGGGCGGGTGTCATTGAGAGGTCACCCTCACCACTATGGGTGACTCACTGGGAGGCAGGAAGGAGAGGATCCTGCCTCCCCCAGCCCAGGACACACCCCTCCTGCCCTGAGAGTCCTGGCAGGATGAACTGGGCTGGGATGCTCTTAGCCAGGCCCTGATGGCCATGGATGTGGGTTGTCCCTCTGAGGCCCTGCAGGTGTCCAGAAGAACGTCTCCCCCACCTTTCCATTCTGGGAAGTGAGGGCAGCCATGGGGCAGGCAGGAGAGGGGCTGGGTCTGGTGTGTGAGCTCAGGGCCCCAAGGCTGAATGTGGGATGTGACTGCGTGTCACAGAAAGACAGGTCCCAGCCTCTCACTCAGTCACTCCTTCATTTATCCCCCCTGAACCTCCTCTGGGACCCAGAGCTGAAGCAGACCCAGCCCCTCCATAGCCCCCTTTTACAGTGTGGGAGACAGACATAAATATAACCAAGTCAAGTGCCAGGCAGAGCTGGGCAGAGGGTGATAACTTAGGAGAGGGAACAGGGTGTGTGTGTGTATGTGTGTGTGTGTGTGTGTAAAGGCTCCCTTCCTGGAGAAGCTGAGGCTGGAAGGATAATATTTGAATATGTAGAGGTGGGGGGACAGGGCCCTGAAGGGAAGGAAATGGCATGAATAAAACCATGGAGGCAGGAGATGTGATACATTTATAGGAGGAGGGAGAGGAGTCCTAGGGTGTGGCATGCATGTGGAAAGAGCAGAGGGGGATCGGCTTGTAGAAGGTTCATTCTGGGCCATGGAGAGCCTTCAATGTTTGGGCAAGGAAGCAAGCAGTGAGCGGGGGTGTGACACGCCAGGGCTCTGCCTGAGGCGGGTTTCTCTGGGGGTGCTGGGCTGTGGACAGGCAGGAGAGAGGCAGGAAGCCAGCAAGGAGCATGGGTGGCAAGGCTCAAGGCACAGGAGGGGCAGAGGGCGTGAGGAGGGGAGATGGACTCATGAGACTGTACAGAGGCCGGAACTGGTGGAGTGGGAACAGGAGAGATGGAGTCTCTGAGACTCAGCAGAATGACCTAGGCAGTCAGGGATTTCCCAGTGGTAGTCCAAGGTGGGAGGGGGGGTAGGGGAAGCAGGATGCGGATCTCCCCAGGGTCAGTGTGCCCAGGAGAGGTCCCAGAGAGGTAGAAGCTAGAGATGTGGGCATCGCTGATAGTGGTGAGGTGTGGGCCCTGGGATGGCAAGACAAAGGGGGGCGGGGAGAGCTCAGAGAGGGCTGCGGTTTGAAGAGGGGAGAATTTAGAAGAGAGGAAGTGCCAGATAGAGATCACATTCCCAGGAAAGTTTGGAGGGGAAAGCCAGAGGAGAAAACGGCTGTTCGGTCGTCGTCGTCATCATCATCATCATCATCATCATCATCATCATCTGATACTACTTATTAAACACCCTCCTGGGCCAGGCACTGTGCTAACTATCTGAACAGGCATTACCTCATTTAATAGACACAACAAACATCCCTACAGATGAGAACACTGAGGCACAGAGAGGGGGAGAAGCTGCTCAGGGCCACACAGCTGGCACATGGCCTCCTGGCTAGGATTTAACCAGGACTTAAGACTCCAGAAGCCAACATGGGTAGAAGGATGTTGGGGGGACCTAGAGAGCCACGGGTTCCAAAACCCAGCTTCCCAAGGAGGACAGAGCCCGTGCGTAGCAAGGAAGTAAGGAGGAGGGGAAAGAGACAGGATGTGGGTGAGGGACTGGGCCTGGTCCCTGATCCACCTCCCCTCCTCAGTGGTGTGTCCTCTGCCCTGCATGAACGGTGGCCAGTGCTCCTCCCGAAACCAGTGCCTGTGTCCCCCGGACTTCACCGGTCGCTTCTGCCAGGTGCCCGCTGGAGGAGCTGGTGGGGGCACCGGCGGCTCAGGCCCTGGGCTGGGCCGGGCCGGGGCCCTGTCCACAGGCGCGCTGCCGCCCCTGGCTCCAGAGAGCGAGTCTGTGGCCAGCAAGCACGCCATCTACGCGGTCCAGGTGATCGCGGATCCGCCCGGGCCTGGGGAGGGGCCCCCTGCCCAGCATGCAGCCTTCCTGGTGCCCCTCGGGCCGGGACAGATCTCCGCAGAAGGTACCGGACCACCGGGCGGACTCAGGGAGGCCGAAGTGGGCGGACACTAGGGTGGCGGGACCTCGAGGAGCCCCGCCCACCCCGCACGACAACCTACGGTCCGGGGCAGCCCTGAAGCCACCGTGCCCCGCCCCCCAGTGCAGGCCCCGCCCCCCGTGGTGAACGTGCGCGTCCACCATCCGCCCGAGGCCTCGGTCCAAGTGCACCGCATCGAGGGGCCGAATGCTGAGGGCCCCGCCCCCTCGCAGCACCTGCTGCCGCACCCCAAGCCCCAGCACCCCCGGCCACCCACCCAGAAGCCCCTGGGCCGCTGCTTCCAGGACACACTGCCCAAGCAGCCCGTGAGTGAATCCACAGTCCAGCTGGACCGGCCCTTGGGTCTCAGGGTTGCCCTGTTCCCACTCAACGGGGATTGCCCAAAACGGGTGTCCCTGGGCGGACAGGGGGAGGTAAAGGCCCCGAGGAGGAAGGCCGGGTGGGGCTGGGCGCCCTGTGACCCGTGTCCCAACTTCCCCTAGTGCGGCAGCAATCCCCTCCCGGGCCTCACCAAGCAGGAGGACTGCTGCGGGAGCATCGGCACCGCCTGGGGCCAGAGCAAGTGCCATAAGTGCCCCCAGCTGCAGTGTGAGTGCCGGGGCTCAGGGATGCCTGCCACCGCAGGGTGGACCCACACCCACCTCTTCCTCCCCTGCAGGGGGAGGATGCAACCGGTGCAGCCTGAGCCTCTCACTGCCCACCAAATTCCCCTCAGCCTCCCGCTCTGCTCCTCGGCAGCGCCCTCCTTTCCCTCTCTGCAGGACCCCCCAGTGTCCTCCCCTGCCACACTCTCCTCTCTCTGCAGACACAGGGGTGCAGAAACCAGGACCTGTACGTGGGGAGGTGGGCGCTGACTGCCCCCAGGGCTACAAGAGACTCAACAGCACCCACTGCCAGGGTATGGCCAGCCAGGAGATTCTGTGGGCTGGAGGGACAAGCCCATTGTCACTGGGGGAGGCCCCAAGGTGGGTGAGGGAGGAGGAGGCAGGGCTGGGGCAGGACCCTGAGGTTCTTGGAGCAGCTGGCTGTCACCCTGTGGCCGCACACTAGAGGGATCACACTCCCGCTTACCGCAGACATCAACGAGTGCGCGATGCCGGGCATGTGTCGCCATGGGGACTGCCTCAACAACCCAGGCTCCTATCGCTGTGTCTGCCCACCTGGCCATAGCTTGGGCCCCTCCCGAACGCAGTGCATTGGTGAGAATGGGGGGCTCAGGCCCCTGGGAGGTCACAAGGCAGGGACAGGAGAGGTAAGCCTCCAAGCAGCAAGGATCAGAGGTCACAGAAGTCACAGTGGGGTCAAGGGTTGACTGCAGGAGGAGTAAGGCCCAGAGCTGATAGGATCAGGGATCAGTGGGGTCAGAAGTCACATGGGATCTGGTTGGAGGTCACGCGGGGTCAGGGACTATATAGAGCGAGGGTCCTATGAGATCATGGGCTTGATGGGTAGGAGGAATGAAGTCTAGAACATCCAGAATCAGGGGTCAGCGGGGCCAGTGGTCACAAGAGATTTCAGGGGTCACATGAGGCCAGAGAAACGCAGGTTCAGGGATCACATGAACTCAGGGTCGTGTGAGGTCAGAGGCCACATGAGGATCAAGAGTTGTCTGAGCCAGAGAGGTGAGGCCTGGAGCAGCTGGGAAGAGGGACATGGGCAGTGTTCAAGCCCAGATGTCCATGCCCGCCCCTGGCCCCCCGCAGCGGACAAGCCAGAGGAGAAGAGCCTGTGTTTCCGCCTGGTGAGCCCTGAGCACCAGTGCCAGCACCCACTGACCACGCGCCTCAGCCGCCAGCTCTGCTGCTGCAGCGTGGGCAAGGCCTGGGGTGCCAGGTGCCAGCGCTGTCCCGCTGATGGCACCGGTGAGCCTGGGGCGTGTGGGGCTAAGGGGCCGTTTATGTGCCCGTCCCGGAAACACTCACTTCTCTGCCCCTTGCTCTGGCTGCAGCTGCCTTCAAGGAGATCTGTCCAGCTGGGAAGGGGTACCACATCCTCACTTCCCACCAGACGCTCACCATTCAGGGCGAAAGTGACTTTTCCCTTTTCCTGCACCCGGATGGGCCACCCAAGCCCCAACAGCCCCCGGAGAGCCCCAGCCGGGCGCCGCCACCTGAGGACACCGAGGAAGAGCGAGGTCTGGCCTGACCCTTTCCATTCCCTGACAAATGCGGAACGCCTAGACCTGGCCCCTTGACTCCTGATCCACAGATATGACCTCAGAGTCTAACCCCTAACTCCTAATCCTTGACCTAACCACGGACCCCCAGAGCTGGCCCTCTCATCCCTAACCAAGGTTGTAACCCCAGGATTTGGCCCCCGATCAACAGGATCTGACCATCCATTGCCCTCCAGATCTATTCCTCTGACCCTGGAACCCCTTTGATTTCCAGACCAGGGCATTGATCCAGCCCAAATGCTGTCCTTAGATCTGACCTTCTGACTCCTGATCCAAGGATTTTGACCCTAGCTATAACCTCCTAAGCCTTGCTCTATAACCCAAGGACCTTGACCAACCATTGTGCCCTATACCTGTTCCCCTGACCCCTGGATCTAACTCTTGACCCTTGACCCAGAGGCATGATTTTTGAACTCTCAGAGACCCTGATCACAAATACCAACTGCCCATCCCAGTCTTAACTCCCTTCTCCCAGCCCTGCACTAATGCCCCATCTTCCTCCCTTTTAGGGGTGAGCACGGACTCAGTGAGTATGAGAGCCCAGGTGGGAGGAGCAGGGAAGCAAAGGCGACAGTGGGCTCATGCTGCTGTCACTCACAGCCAGTGATTGAGGAGCAGTCAGCTCAGCAGAGCCACCCGATCGCCACCACGTCTCCCGCCAGGCCCTACCCGGGTGAGCTGGGCACTGCAGGGAGCAGTCCTCAAGGGCTGTCACTGGGGGTGGTGGACAGCCGCGCCATCAGGGGATAGTGAAGTTGGGCCTGCCTGGAGAGGGGTGGCTCTCTCATCCCCCACACCCCGTGACGGCTATCTGCCTACAGAGTTGATCTCCCGGCCCTCACCACCCACTGTGCGCTGGTTCCTGCCAGACCTGCCCCCATCCCGCAGTGCGGTGGAGATCGCTCCTACTCAGGTCACAGGTAAGACCTGCCTGCCTAGGCCACGACCCAGAGAAGCCACGTCCCTGGCTTAATTTTACTCCTCCCTTACCCACCCCCCTCCAATCATTCCTGAGCACTAGCACTTACCCGGGGCCTCCTGGGTGCCAGGTCCTGGGCTGGGCCCTGGGGAAGCCATCACGTGCAGCAGAGACCCCATTCTGCCCTCAAGTGATCCGGGTATCGTGGTGCCCCGCCCAGTCTGAAGGCACTGAATCATTCATTCATTCATTCATTCATTCATTCAACAAATATTTATTAAGCACCTACTATGTGCCAGGCACTGTTTAGGTGCTGGGGATAAGTGGTAAACAAAAGCCAGAACTTCTCTGTTCTTGCAGAGTAAACAGACAACAGACAGATCAGTGACTAAAAACCTAGTATGTCTCATAAATGCCATGCAAAAATAAATCAGAGAAGGAAAGAAGTCTGGGGGCTTGTGATAATACATAGGGGGGCAATGAGAGAAGGCCTTCTGGGCCGGGCTTTAGAGAGTGTTAGAAATGAACAAGAAGTGCGGGAGGAAGGGGAGTGCAGGTTGGGAAAAGGGACATTCCAAGTGAAGCTCAGGCAAAGGGCACATGAAACACTGGTGGAGGAGGGAAAACCACACACAGACCAGTGTTTTTGAACCCAGGGACGGCCGACGCACAGAGCCTTGTTAAGAGGCTTGGGTTTGATCCCAAAGGCTGTGGGAAGTGTCTGTAGGGTTTGGGGCATCATGATAATTGCTAGCTATGGCTGAGTAATTGCCTTGTGCCAGGCACTGACTGAAGGGTTTTACGTACTAAATATCACTTAACCTTTTCATACTGTGAAAGTGGGTACACTTAGCTTCATCGTTCAGTAGCTTGCCCCCCCACCGCCGTCACACATCGGAGCCAGATTCTAGTCCGTGTCTGTGTGGACTCCAAAGGTACAAGGGAGCCACCAGCCTGATTGAAATCTAGGAGGCTAGATGTGCTCTGGGCGTGAGGGCCTAGGGGGAAGGTGGCTATCCTGGAGGCCTGTCCAGGCTAGAACAAGGGTGTCAGCCCTGGGGGCTGTGGGAATGTGGGGCAAGAGGCACCTGGGGAGGCTTCTCAGAGGAGGGGCTGTTAAGGAGGTCTAGGGAGAGATACTCTAGGCGAAAAGAGCAGCCTGCCCTGTGTGTTTAGGGTGGGGCAGAGCTCAGGATCAAGTCCTGGGCTGCAGGAGGGGGAAGGGGGGGGCCTGAAGGAGGGAGCGGTGGGAGGCGGGAGTTCAGGACTGGTGACAAAGAGAGTAAAGGGGGTTTCTGGATCTGACCACTTATACACAACCAGGGGGCAAGCAGATGCCCAGGAAATAAATGAGCTCCTGCCTGCCTTGGGAGGGGGAGGAAATCGGCCATTCTGGAATGGGGGACCCGGGTCCCTGAGGTGAGGGTGTTGGGGTCACCGGGCTAGAGGATAGGGGAGGGGAGTGACTAAGGCTGCAGGGTTTTAAATACTGAGGTGATTGGAGGGGGGTGTCTCAGAGCCCATTGGGTAAGGGGTATTGGGATGACTGAGGGGCCCTGAGGGGAGGTGATGGAGTTTGGGGTGACTGGAGACAGAGCATAGTGAGTAGGAATAGAATTATCAGGGATTGAGTTGAGCATAGGGATGGGACCTGGGGTCGCTATCTGGGGTCGCGACATTGGGGTTATCTGGGATAGAGATGTAGGACATCCTAGGATTGGAGTAGGAGTGTACAGGGACCGCATGGTGTGACCAGGCTCAGGTATCTGGGTCATTAAGAACAGGGCATCGAGGTCCGCCCGGGGAACGTGGCAGAAAGTGAGTGCTCCCTGCTGAGGCCCCTGCTCGACCACCTCCCCACCCCCCAGAGACAGACGAGTGTCGTCTGAACCAGAACATCTGTGGCCACGGAGAGTGCGTCCCGGGCCCCTCGGACTACTCCTGCCATTGCAATCCGGGCTACCGGTCGCACCCGCAGCACCGCTACTGCGTGGGTGAGCGCGGGCGGCCGGGGGCGGGGGGTGGCCCGGGGGTGGGCGGGGGGGCTTGGGTCCCAATGCCCCTTGACGTCTCCCCACCCGCGCGCCCTTCTCAGACGTGAACGAGTGCGAGGCGGAGCCATGCGGCGCCGGGAGGGGCGTCTGCATGAACACGGGCGGCTCGTACAACTGCCACTGCCACCGCGGCTACCGCCTGCATGTCGGCGCCGGGGGGCGCTCGTGCGTGGGTGAGCGCGGCCCGCGAGGCGCGGGGGGCTGGGCGGATGGGGGGTCTCCCCTCCGGATCCGCCGCGTAACCGCCTCCGCCGCCCCCGGCGCCCCGCTCGCGCTCCCTTCCTCCCGCTCAGACCTGAACGAGTGCGCCAAGCCCCACCTGTGCGGCGACGGCGGCTTCTGCCTCAACTTCCCGGGCCACTACAAGTGCAACTGCTACCCCGGCTACCGGCTCAAAGCCTCACGACCGCCCGTGTGCGAAGGTGGGGGAGACCCCATCCAGGCCGACAGGGGGTCCTCAGCCGTTCTCGACCCGGGCTGAGGGCAGGGGCCCCGGACTCTGGGCCTCTCAGAGGTCGGGCTGCGGGAGCCCAGAGGGCCGGGGTCGCCTTGTTGATCTGTAACGGAAGGAGGCCCTGCTGAGGACACTGAGCGCCTGGCCCGACACCTTGTCCCCAAATGGATCTCCCTCCCTCTCCCCCAACCCGCGCAGACATCGACGAGTGCCGAGACCCTAGCTCCTGCCCGGATGGCAAATGCGAGAACAAACCCGGGAGCTTCAAGTGCATTGCGTGTCAGCCCGGCTACCGCAGCCATGGGGGCGGGGCCTGCCGCGGTGAGAGAGGGCCCTGAGTCCCGGATTGGGGGGCGGGGGGCGGGTTCGACGGCCAATGGGCGGGGCCCGTGCGGGCCCGTGCGGGAGTTCTCCCCGCGACCCGGCAGTTTCGGGATCCGGTTACGGCAGGGGCGGGGCTGACGGCGGTGAGAGGCGCCTAGGCGGGTGGGGCCTTCCCCGTCCTGGGCGGAGAAGACCCCCACCTCGGCACAGTGCCGGGTCCAGTGGGGCGGCTACCGAGGCGAGTCTTCGCCGCCGCAGACGTGAACGAGTGTGCCGAGGGCAGCCCCTGCTCGCCTGGCTGGTGCGAGAACCTCCCAGGCTCCTTCCGCTGCACGTGCGCCCAGGGCTACGCGCCTGCGCCGGATGGCCGCAGCTGCCAGGGTGAGCCCCAGCCCTCCCCGCAACGCTGCCGCACCCACTCACGCGTGGGAGCTGGGGACCGAGTCACCCCGTCTGTCCCACGGTGGGCAGGAGATAGCTGCTTCACCCTCCAGGTCTCTGACCCATTCACTCATCTTCTCAGCGAACCTGGCCGTTGAAAGGGCCACCAGGATTTCTATGTAGGAAGGGTCTTAGGGAGGCAAGGCTTGAAGCTGCTTTTGCAAAGCACGTTACCTAAATTTAAAGGGGGAAAAAAGACATAGAAGAATGAGCAGGGGGGGCTAGTAGTCCCACTGTTCTGTTTATGCACCAAGAGGCGGGCTGGGGCTGGGATTCAGAGAAACTGAGCAACTTTACACACAGACTGGAGAGCGCAGGGCTGTGGGCCTGGCTGGAATGTGGGTGCAGGGCTGGGAGGAGGGGAGGCCTGAATTGTCTTAAAGGACCACTAGGAATTAGCCAAGCAAAGAAAGCATCAGCGGACTCGGAGGTGAAAAACAGCTCAGACTGTGCTGGAAACTGTAAGATGTAAGCAGAGGGTGGGGGCTGAGGCTGGCTGGTGAGGGGCAGGGCTCCACCCCCCTGAGAGGCCCCCTGAGCCCTGCCCAGGAGGTAGAGCTTCATCCTGACAGTGTTCTGAGGCACCGGAAGCATTTTAAGGGGAAAGGTGACAAGATTCACCATTTGCTTTGGAAAGTTTCCTGCCGCTGAGTGTGGAGAGTAGCCGGAGGTCTGCTAGGGACTCAGGGCACAGGTGGTGGCCATGATGGGAGTAGTGGCCTCCGGACGGTCATGGGATGATGTGATATTAGAGAAATGTTAAAGCGCATTACCTGGGCTTATTAACTGGATGTCCAGGTGAGAGAGGGGGCAGCCAGGGACCCTCCAGGTTTCTGGCTTGGGTGACTCTGTGGGTGGTGCTGTTCACTGGGATAGGGTCTCCAGGGGTGGTGCAGACTGGAGAAGGAAGACACCAAGTTTCATGCTGGACAAATTGAGTGGGTGTCCCTATGGGCCTGGGCCTCTGGGCTGAAGATGCCAGCAGAGGGTGGGCCGTACAGATTGGAAGCCTTGGGCCAGACACCACCACCCCCCCGGAACTGTAGACTGCCGGGGGGCTGTGGAGCCTTGGGGTGCGCCTGCTCAGTCAAGGAGGGTGGGTCCAGTGAGGGGAGCCTCAGCAGAGCCTTATGGGCAATGCCACATCAACGGAACGTAGGGGAATAAGAGTGGGAGATGGGGGAGGCGGGACGGAAGGAGGCCCAGGGAGTCCCAGCTGAGAAACCGGGGTGAGGTTTCCAGGGCAGAAGAGGATGAGCCAAATGTAACCAAGAGGTTCTTGAAAAGTAAGAACTGAGTGGTGAGATGAGAAAGTCCCTGGTGACCTTGGTAGGGTGGCTTCTGTGGCAGGACGGGCCAAGAGATGCAGGCAGCAAGTGAGGAAGAGCGAGACATGGGGCTACCAGAATGGGGTTTAGGGTTGTAGGCTGAGGAGGTGCCAGGAAAGTGGGTGAGGGAATGACAAGGGCAGCTGGGGAAGGAGCCACGGACAGAAGGGACATCTCTTGCCCTAACGGATGTAATGATTTTCAGGAGGTTAAAGATTACCCTTAATTTTCTCAATGAGCAGTGAAGGGCCTGAGTCCAGTAGGGGACTTGCAATGACCAGTAGAGGGTTGGGACTGCCCAAGGGCATGGGAGCTGCCTAGGGGCTTTCCAGAAGTCCAGCCTGGGGAGGAGGGGCAGGGTGGTGCCAGCCACACTGAGGATCGGGTGGGGCCCACGGCCAGAGGGAGTGGCTGTGGCCCAGGGTGCTCAGCCTGGCGGGTGCCAGCATCCCATTCAGCACCCAGGATCTGGAGGCCCAGAGGCAGGCATGGCCTCCTAGACCAGTGCGGAGGAGGGAGAGGTGTTCGGGAGCCCCTGGGAGAGAAGGTGGGATAGGGGACTTGAGAACAGCCGAGGCATTGGGAAGGAAGCAGCATCTGAGATGCCCAAAGTGGGGCCGATCCCAGCCCCTCGTCCTGACAGTGAGTGGCTGCCGCTGAAGTGAAGGTCCCAGAAACAGATCAAGGGTGTAAGGTCAGAGGCTGGGCCTGGCTGACCATATGGATGCTGAAAAGTCCTAGGGCAGGGAGCAAGACAGAGGAAGGGAGACTAGGGAGGTGAGTGCTGACAGCAGGAGAGAAGGTGGAGGCTGGCATGTGGGCTGGTGCACCTCAGAGATGGAGCGTGGCCCGGAAGGGCTCTGACGTGTGGCCAAGAACCAGCTTCTGCCAGAGAGAACTGCAGAGAAGCACGCTCTCAGGGGAAGGCCAAGTTCCTTTACTGCACAAGCAGAAGACATTATTCTGCGAGCAGGGCAAAGGCAGAGAGGGGCTTATCTACGTGGGAAGAAAGGGAGCCACAGCAGGTGGGGGGAGGACGAGAGCAGCTGCGGCAAGGGAGACCAGGGCGGTATTCGAAGAGGGGATGGGGGGGTGCCCTTGTTTGGTGAGGAGGGATGAAGGTGGGGGGGGCTTGAGCTCTTTGGAATCAGACATGGCCCAGGGTCCCTGGCAGCACCTGGCCTGCTCCCCAGGGCATGGTGTGCCCCACAGAGGAGGGTGAGGGGCCCGTGCTTCCCTTGAGCTCCACTGGCCTCAGCTCTGGTGCTCCAAGCCGTAGGCGCGAGTGGGAAAAGGGTAGCAGAGGCCTGAGACCATCCCACGCTGGCCCTCTGACGCCCCCTTGTGCCCCTCAGATGTGGATGAGTGCGAGGCTGGGGATGTGTGTGACAATGGCATCTGCACCAACACACCAGGCTCCTTCCAGTGTCAGTGCCTCTCTGGCTACCATCTGTCAAGAGACCGGAGCCGATGCGAGGGTAAGCGGGGCAGAGAGCTGGGCGGAGTTAGCCTGTTCCTCCCTACCCCAGGACTTCCACTGCCCAGGCTCCAAGCCAGGCACTCCCCTGTCCAACCCCCATCCAGATCCAAGATTGGGCCTGGGGTAATGGGCCGGACCCAGGGCTCTGGGGGAAGCCAGGTCAGCCCCTGAGATTCCCCACCTCCTTGCTCCCCTGCAGACATCGATGAGTGTGACTTCCCCGCAGCCTGCATTGGGGGTGACTGCATCAACACCAATGGCTCCTACCGATGTCTCTGTCCCCAGGGGCATCGGCTGGTAGGCGGCAGGAAGTGCCAAGGTATGGGGGGATTGGCTGAGAGTTCCTGAGGAGGGCTGGCAGGGAATGGCAGTAATCTAGACACACTGTTGATCTGTCTTTGCATCCATCCGTCCACCCACACATTCACTCCCCCTTCAACTCCTTCACCTAGGATAGCAACAGTAATAATGAAAGTATGTGCCAGCTCACCCTTACGTGCGGTAGCCAGCGGGAGTTTACTGAGAACCTACTATTTACCAGCTTCTGTACTATGTGCCAGGTACAGAGCAATGGCCCAGGGCCCCCACCAGGGGAGGCTGACGTGTGAATTGATTCTTACCGTTCAGGGTGCCAAAAGAGGTCTGGATGAGTGACTTATTGGCAATGGAGAGGTGACAACTGAATTGGAACTTGGAGCATAAAGATGGTCCCCTAACGCATAAATAAGGTCCCGGCACAGAGAGAAGCACGTGTGGTATTCCAGGCCCAAAGAACAGGGTGTGCAAACACAGAGATCTGGGAGGACTTAGTTGTGTTTTTAGGGGAGAATGCCCTGAACATAGAGTTGGGGGTGCCGGTGTTTAGAGTAAAGGATGAAACTGAAAGATATCAGGAGGCCAAACTGAAAGTTCTCAGTTGCGGGGCTGAGAGTTGGGACTCCCTGTGTCGCCAGTGACAGCTGTGGCAGGTCTTAGGAAGAAGGCAGTGAATGTGCACACCTCTGCCCACGTGCCCGGACAGACCCGAGTGGACTTTCTGTTGTGTGTACTTTGAGATCAAAATGGAAGTTTGGGTTCTGAACTTGTGTGAGTCCCTGGAGGCACACCCCCAGGGAAGGAGGGCCTGATTTCCTTGGAGCAACTCTTCCTGCTTCCCTCGCTGGCCAGACATAGACGAATGCAGCCAGGACCCCGGCCTGTGCCTTCCCCATGGGGCCTGTGAGAACCTGCAGGGCTCCTACGCTTGCGTCTGTGATGAGGGTTTCACGCCCACCCAGGACCAGCACGGCTGTGAGGGTGAGTGCCCTCTAGCTCCTCCTCAGGCGAGACAACTTCCCTGAGCTGCAGCTGGGGTTCAGAGACGGACCCTGGTCCCACCCTCTGGAATCCGGGGAACAGGGAGAGATCCCTTTTGCCTGAGAGTCCGGCGGGGCTGGACCTTGCAGGAGGGCCCTGAAGGCCACATTGAGGGTGGAGCTTGGCTCTGACCGGCAGGCTGAGGGGAGCCAGGTTGGTGGGGAGCGTGGATTCGCAAGACTGTCTGCAGGACCCTGAGCTGCCCTCCACTCCCCTCAGAGGTGGAGCAGCCCCACCACAAGAAGGAGTGCTACCTTAACTTCGATGACACGGTGTTCTGCGACAGTGTACTGGCCACCAATGTCACCCAGCAGGAGTGCTGCTGCTCGCTGGGGGCTGGCTGGGGAGACCACTGCGAGATCTATCCCTGCCCAGTCTACAGCTCAGGTCAGGAGTCTTAGTTTCTTCATTTTGCTTTTTAATTTTATTTTTTTAAAGATTTTATTTATTTATTTGACAGAGAGAGATATAGCGAGAGAGGGAACACAAGCAGGGGGAGTGGGAGAGGGAGAAGCAGGCCTCCCGCCGAGCAGGGAGCCCGATGCGGGGCTCGATCCCACGAGCCTGGGATCACGACCTGAGCCGAAGGCAGACGCTTAAGGACTGAGCCACGCAGGCGCCCCTCAGTTTCTTCATTTTGGAAATGTACTGGGGAAAGGGCCCCTCCCGGGGTCGGTGGGAGATGAAGCGGAGAGCTCCCGACCTGAGCCCAACGGCTAGTGCGCACGCGCTCAGTCCCGCCTCCTTTCTTCCCCACGGCCGCTCTCTCCCCGCAGCTGAGTTCCACAGTCTCTGCCCAGACGGAAAGGGCTACACCCAAGACAACAACATTGTCAACTACGGCATCCCAGCCCACCGTGGTAAGCCCCAACACGGCTCCGCCCACCGGGCACGCCCCGCTCCGCCCACCGAGGTTTGGACCGCCCCGATCCCGCCCGTGCTCGTTAGGTCGGTAGCGAGCACTGGGGTAAGCCCCGCCCACACCTTCAGCGTCTGCCCCGCCCCTATCACGCTTACGTCAGCGCCCGGAAAAGCCTTCTCCCACTGAGTTTGCTCCGCTCCCGCGGTAAGCCCCGCCCACACTTCCCTGGCTGCGGGCCTGAGCCGCCCGGCAGGTAAAGGCCACGGGGCGCCCACGGCTTGTCACTCCGCAGACATCGACGAGTGCATCTTGTTCGGGGCGGAGATCTGCAAGGAGGGCAAGTGCGTGAATACGCAGCCGGGCTACGAGTGCTATTGCAAGCAAGGCTTCTACTACGACGGGAACCTACTGGAGTGCGTGGGTGAGCGCAGACGGTCCCAGTGGCCGTGGGACAGCGGCCGGGAGACACGCACAACCACCCGCCTTCGGGCCGGTTCCCTCCACTCGCGCCTTTCCTCCCCGCAGACGTGGACGAGTGCCTGGACGAGTCCAACTGCCGGAACGGAGTGTGTGAGAACACGCGCGGCGGCTACCGCTGTGCCTGCACGCCCCCGGCCGAGTACAGCCCGGCGGAGCGCCAGTGTCTGAGCCCGGAGGAGATGGGTGAGGCCCGGGCCTGCTGGCTGGGGAAACAGGAGGGGAGCGGGGACCGGGCCGAGCTGTGACCACCACCCCCACACATGCCCTCTCTACCCGTAGACGTAGACGAGTGCCAGGACCCGGCAGCCTGCCGCCCTGGTCGCTGCGTCAACCTGCCGGGCTCCTACCGCTGCGAGTGCCGCCCGCCCTGGGTGCCCGGGCCCTCCGGCCGCGATTGCCAGCTCCCAGAGAGCCCAGCCGGTGAGGGCGAGAGTTGTCCTGGGCCGATTCCAGGGCCCGGTCCGCTGTGTGGAAGCCCCGGGGTCGCGGCCCCTCTCCCCCGCGAGGGTGGGTGGGAACCCGGGGCCGACTGTCCTCCCCACCTTCGGGCCCCTCGCTGATGCCTGGTCTCCCTCCTCAGAGCGTGCCCCGGAGCGGCGGGACGTGTGCTGGGCCCAGCGTGGAGAAGATGGCATGTGCGCGGGCCCCCTGACCGGGCCAACCCTCACCTTCGACGACTGCTGCTGTCGCCAGGGCCGCGGTTGGGGAGCCCAGTGCCGCCCCTGCCCGCCGCGCAGCGCGGGTGAGCCAAGCCCGCCAGGGGCCCACAGGCGGTTGGGGCGGGAGCCTGGGTGCATCCACGTCGCTCACCGCCCCTGTCCCTCCCAGGATCCCAGTGCCCGACGTCGCAGAGTGAAAGCAATTCGTTCTGGGACGCGAGCCCCCTGCTGCTGGGGAAGCCCCCTCGAGGTGAGCGTAGCGGGAGGACACAGCGGTGCGGGTCCCTGGCCATCCGCGGGCCGGCTGCAGGTGGTGGAGGTGGAGGCTGACGTCTGCATTCTCCCCGCCCGCGCAGAGGAGGACAGCTCAGAGGAGGATTCGGACGAGTGCCGCTGCGTGAGTGGTCGCTGCGTGCCCAGGCCGGGCGGCGCCGTGTGCGAGTGCCCGGGCGGCTTCCAGCTCGACGCCTCTCGTGCGCGCTGCGTGGGTGAGCCGGGGGGGGGGGGGGGGAGCGGGACCGCACGGGCCGCGGGGGCGGGGGGGTGGTGCACACGCTAAGAGGGCTGCGTGCTCTGGCGCTCTAGCGAAGCCCGCACCTGTCGCCCCCACCTCCAGACATCGACGAGTGCCGAGAGCTGAACCAGCGCGGGCTGCTGTGCAAGAGCGAGCGCTGCGTGAACACGAGCGGCTCCTTCCGCTGCGTCTGCAAAGCTGGCTTCGCGCGCAGCCGCCCGCACGGGGCCTGCGTGCCCCAGCGCCGCCGCTGACGCGGGGGCCCGGACCTTGGCCATCAGCGGGGGGTTTCCGCCTGACCCTCCGGGCGAGCTCAGCCCCCATCACCTGCCCTGACTCAGGGCTCGGACCCGGGGACTCTCCAGGGCCCTCAGAGAGTTTCGAGTTTCGAGGGCGGCCGTAGCAGCGCTGCCCAGTTCACAGGTGGAGATCGGGTCTCGGGCACTGGTGGCCTTCCTCCCAGAGGGCATTTCCTGGAACCTGATAAATCAGATAGTGCCTCTTTACTCTCGGCTTTCGGAAGCAAATTGATGTTCATGTCTGTGGCGGGCGTGGACTCCACAGGGCAGCGCCAGACCCAAGCCTCCTGGGAGGGGCTGCACTGAGCCCAGCACAGGGGTGTGAAATAGAATTTATTGTGGCTCTGATTATGTACACGTGAGACGTGCCTGGCCGGAACTGGCCGGGCTGGCATGGTTTGTACAATAAATACATCCGCGGGGCCCGCTCTCCGCGGCTACGAGCGCCCACACCGGCAGTTCAGTCCAGCTTGCGGGTTCCCAGCTTCATGGGGCCCTTGGCCGCCTTCTTCTCGGCGCGTTTGGCCTCCATCTCCCGCCGACGCTCCTCGCGCTTCTTCCGGGCCAGCTCGGCCTTCCCTTGTCCTGGGAGCAAGAGGAGGAGGAGGTGGGCTGAGGGCTTCAGAAGCACAGGGGGCTCGGCTGCCCAGCCCGCACCTGCCCCAAGGTCAACAGCCCTAGCCGGTCAGCCCTCAGAAGGGAAGCACTTACGGCTCTCCGTCTCCAGACCCTCCCAGTTGTCATCGCCCCATGAATCAGGTCTCAGCTGAAAGGGAAGTGTGGCTGGAGTGGGGATGGACTCCCAGCTGAGGTCCACCCCAGTCTGTACCCTCGCCCAGACGGGTGCCACGTACCTGGGCGCCAGCTTCCCGTCGTGCAGACAGGGCAGCAAAGGGATCACCTTTGTCACCAGGCTCCGGGCCACCCCAGTTATACTCGCTGGCCAGCCGTGTGCCCTCAAGGGGTGGCTCTGGGGGACCTGGCTCCTGCCAGCCCTGCTCCCATGAGCCCTCAGCTTCCCAGCTGCTCCAGTCTGACTCAGGGGATTTGGCGGCCAGGTTGCTGGTCTGCAGAAGGTGGGGAGGTAGTGCCAGATGGAGTAAGGGTGGGGAGCTGGCCCCACCCCCCATAGAAACACCCGTGTCCCACCCTGCTTACCTGCCCAGCACGACTAGCCTGGACCCCAGGACTCCAGTCTTCCTGCTGGGCCAACACAGATTCAGCCTCCTGCTGCAGTGTGGGAAGGAGAGGGCGGCCACAGATACTCCAGCCCCCACCCAAAGGGCAAGGAAGCCTGCCCGCCCCTTCCCAGCCACAGGCTCCACCCTTTCTTCTTTTGCGTTCCATCTCTTTTGCTCCTCAAGCCTTGTTTCCCATCTCTGGAGTGGACATGCCATCCCTCCTCTGAGGCTGGGGAATAAGATCTAGCTGGTCCACACCCCTCCCCACAGCCCCAGGCCAGAGACTGCTGTCAGCAGGTGGAGATACTGGGCCCAGAGGTCTGCCCCCATTCCCCTCAGGGTAGCCCCACTCCATCCTCAGCCCCCGCCCCGCCTGGTAGGCCTGGAAATGGCCTCTCCTTGCTGACCACTGGAGCTAGTGGGGGAAGAATGGGGAGCAGAAGAGAATGAGGAAGACCAATGGGCTGTCCCCAAAAGTGCCCATCTGGACTTCCATTTCCAGCCCTGCTCCCCAGGAGCCCTGGGAGTTTAGTGGGTGTCAGCAGGCAGCTCTTCCCCACAAGGGCCACTCCATGACACCTGCTCACCAGGGGTGCTGTGCAGATGAGGACAGATGTGACTCCAGCCAAGGCTACCGGAGCTCCTTGAAGGCAGCCTATGACCTTTGAGCCGGAGTTGCCTACAGAGACCCCCTGAGCCCCACTCACCTCCAGGCTGCCCCAGTCTTCATCGTCCCATCTGTCAGCAGCACTGCTGTCCTCCGCTGTGTCTGTGCCCTCCTCCTGCGTCTCCCAGTGGCCTGGGCTTGCGGGTGTGGCAGGGACAGGGGTGGGGGCCGGGGTAGGGAGTCCTGAGGAGCAGAGGCTTACTGAGCCCCCCGTACACTGGGACCCAGGAAGGTCTCCAAACAGGGAGAGGTCGCTGGGGGAGAGGGGAAGGTGTAGAGAGGAAAAGCCCGGGAGGGGACTAGACCTTGCCCTGCCGCCCCCTCCACGTCCCCACCGCCACCCCAGGGGAAACCAGACAGGAACAGCTCCTGGGTGCCAGCACCCCCGAGCCCTCTCGGTCGCCAACACAGCCACTCTGGGACACTCACCCTCAGCCGTGGGTCTCTGGGGGACGTTGGTCTCAGCTGGCGCGGCTGCTGGGTGTGCACGGATCAGCTTGGAGGTGAGCGAGGAGACCCCTGTCACAGCCCAGCCTGCCCAGCTGGCTGCACCTCCTCCCATCCCAGGGCTGGAGGCTGCGTGGACATCCTTCTCTGGGCAGCGACAGAAGACAGCGACAGGGACAGTCACCCCAGGCTCTCATGGGGAAGGCGACAGGAAGGCAGGAACTAACACAGAGCAACTTGTAGTGGCCCCCCTTCTCCAGGCCCTTGCTCCCCCGTCAGCGAGATGGGGGAGGTGGGGAGCAATGGTGTCAGGTCTGCTCCCTGTGGTTCTTCTAGCTTTCAGATACTCCAGGGAGGTGGGAGGGGGGCCGTGACAGGTGACAGTCAAAGATGTGGTGGGAGGAGGAGGGAACATGAGCGTGAGCCACTCACCCACTTCAGCCAGCTGGCTGGGGTCCTCTGACACAGACTCCAGTTTGGACAGGAAGCTTCGAATGGCCTTGAAGGCCTGTGGGGTGGTAAGGGGCAGAGCTGGGGCCTCCAGGGTTCCCCTGAGCCCACCGGGCCAGCCAGGGCCCAGCTACTCCCCCGAGCCCCAGCTCCAGAGCCCGGGCCCCGCTGTGCTTCACCTGGTCTCGCACAGATTTCTCGGGATCCACGGTGAGGCCACAGAGCACAGGCAGGATCTTGTGGGCACAGTCGTTCACCGAGTAGAGGTTGTGGGTGGCAGCAAAGCCCAGGACACCCGCCACTCGGGAAGGTGCAAATGGGTCCTTAGTGGCCCGGCTGAAGGCGGAGATGAGGACCCTGTGCCTGGTCTGGGGAGGGGCGGGGGAGAGGGCTCCTGAGCGCAGGGTCAGTCCTGGGACCCAGAACTGCCAGACCTGCTTCCCAGAGCACAGCCATCCGTGGGCCCCCCCACCCCCACGTCGGAAAAATGTGAGCTAATCACTAACAAATGAGGAGACTTTTTACTTAAAACTCGATCTTGGCTTCTCCTCCCAGAGCAGTGGGTTCCTGCTGCCTCAGGACAGCGGGGACTGGGGTCTGTGCCTCTCTCCCCACCCGTGCCGCTGACACCTTTCCTTCCTCCCTTCTTTCCTTTTTTCCTCCCTTCCTTCCTTCCTTCCTTCCCTCCTTTCCTTCCTCCCTCCCTTCCTCCCTCCCTTCCTTCCTCCCTTCCTTCCTCCCTCCCTTCTAACCATCTGGGCACTGCAGGCATCTGCATTTACAAACCCTGGCCAAGGGAACGCACACGGGCCCCGGGGCCAAGCAAGCCTGGGTTCGGTTCCCAGATCCACCACCATCGGAGGATGACTGCACAAGGAGGTTGGCCCTGGAGGACGCTGCGGTCCGGAGGCAGTGACAGAGGCCCCAGCAGTGGGCCGGGCACTCACACTGGCACTGAGGTAGGAGCCGATCTTGCCCAGGCAGACCGTAGTGTTGCAGCGAATGGGGCCCTGATCATCCTTGGCCTGCAGCCGCGCGAAGTGCTTCATCAGCTCCACGTTGAGGTTGGCCTCGTTCAGCTTCGGGGCCAGGAGCAGCATGGACTGCGGGGTGGGGGAGGGTGGAAACTGGGGGCCACAGCCGGCAAAGGGCCACGTGGAGGAGTGGCCTCCTGGGAGGGTGTGGAGGCCAACAGTGACACTGGGCTCTGACGGGACCCACCAAGGCTCTCTCAGACCGACCTCCCAACCTGATCCTGGCCCATACCCAGAACGCTGAGGAAGGGGACACTCCTCTGTCCCCTTGACCCCAAAACCTCCGAAGTTTGTTCACACTCCTGTCTCCCGCCTTTCTCCTTCTGCTCTCTCTTGCATGCACCTGACTCAGAGTTCCACAGAAACACCCCCCACCACACTCTACCAACTGGCTCGAGTGGAGGTCACCAGGGACCTCCATGTTGCTAAATCCATTGGCCAATTCTCCATCCAAACCAAATTTGATCCCTCAGCAGCTGTGACACCCCCAAGTTCCCCTTCCTTCTCGAGACTTCCATCTCTGGTCCTCCAGGACCCCGCCCTCTCCTGGTTCTCCTCTGACCTCGATGGCTGCTCCTTCTCAGTCTCCTGTGGCCGAGATCTTACCGTTCAGACCCTCAGAGCTGCTCCCCGGGCCCCTTCTCTTGTACACCTCACCCCCTTTGTGGCTTTGAATGCCCTTATTAGCGGACGATGCCCAGGTGAGCACCTCCGGCCCAGGCTTCTTCCTTAAACTACACACACGTATAACCAGTGGCCAAACAGACACCGGCACCTGCCTAATAGACGTGGCCAAGAGCAGACCGACCACTTCTCACAAAACTGCTGCTCCCAGTCTTCTCGGTAAATGGCAACTTAACTTTCCAGTTGCCCAGGCCAGAAACCTCAGAGCCATACTTGGCTCCACAGCCACCCATCAGCACATACCCTCTGCCCCACCTTTGGAACCTGGCCCCTTCTGTCTACCTGCTCCTACCATTCAGATCTGAGCCCCCATGACCTCTCAGACTCCACCTCTCTGCACCATGTCCCTTCAGCCACGTTAAACTTCTTGCGGCTACTTCTCCACTCCAGGTACGTGCTGGCCTCAAGATCTCTGTAAATATTCCTTCTGCAGGGAACACATTTCCTCCCCATCTCCCCGTAGCCCGATCCCTTGCCTCCCTTCCTTAAATGACACCTCCTTAGCAAAGTCTTCCCTGATTGCTGTTTTTAAAACCGCAAACCCGGGCGCCTGGGTGGCTCAGTTGGTTAAGCGGCTGCCTTCGGCTCAGGTCATGATCCTGGAGTCCTGGGATCGAGTCCCACATCGGGCTCCCTGCTCAGCTGGGGGGTCTGCTTCTCCCTCTGACCCTCCCCCCTCTCATGTACTCTCTCTCACTCTCTCAAAATAAATAATAAACAAATCTTTAAAAAAATAAAAATAAAAAAATAAAACTGCAAACCCTTCTCTTCACGCTCTGTGACTTTTTTTTTTTTTTAAGGGAAGAGCTTTCTTTTTTTAAAAAAGATTTTATTTATTTGACAGAAAGAAAGAGACAGCCAGAGAGGGAACACAAGCAGGGGGGAGTGGGAGAGGGAGAAACAGGCTTCCCGCCGAGCAGGGAGCCCAATGCAGGGCTCAATCCCAGCACCCTGAGAACATGACATGAGGGGAAGGCAGACGCTTAACGACTGAGCCACCCAGGCGCCCCCACTAAAGAGAGCGGTCGTGTGTGCATGTGAGCAGGGGAAGGAGCAGGGGAAGGAGCAGAGGGAGGAGCAGGGGAAGGAGCAGAGGGAGAGGGAGAAGCAGACTCCACGCTGAGCGCAGAGCCCCACGCGGGGCTCAATCTCAGGACTCTGAGATCATGACCTGAGCCAAGATCAGGAGTCAGACAACCTACTGAGCCACACAGGCAACCCCCTAACATATCTTTTCTAATTGTTTCCTGTCTGGCAAGCCCACTCCCTGTCACCTCAAAAAGCAGCTCCATGAGACACCCTGCATCCCGGCACGGGCCACAGGGCTGGGCACTGAGAGACCCTCAGCCAGCGTCTGCTGCGTGGAGGATACAGACCATGCCCATCCTGCTCCCCACCAGCTGCTGAGCTGCACCAGGAGCCTGGACCTACGTGCAGGATGGTTCCTGCCCCTCCCTTAACCTGCTCAGACACACAGACCCGGACCAAGGCCTCTGTGTCGTCGTGTGAGCCCCCCACCAAGCCTTGGAAAACCAGGGCACACCTACCTTGACTGTCTGCTCTCGGATGGCAGGGTTGGTGTCCAGGAAGCCGTGTACAACGTGAGGAAAGATCTGCGTGTTGACTGTTGGCTCATCCAGGTACTGGATAAACTGTTCCATCTGTGGCCCAGTAGGTGTGAGAACAGTCAGCCCCTCCTTGCTTGACCACAGCCACCGGCCCATTTCGTGGCTTGGTTATTCCCCCTACACAGGCACTGGCCAGCCAGGTGAGTCCCCTGAGCCCTCCACCTCGCACCTGGCCTTTCTCTAGTCTTAGGACATTGTGGAGTGATGAGGAGAGGCCAGGAGGGTGCTGGGAAGAACTGAGGACTGGGAGCTGGAGGGTCTGGCCTCTGGTCCTGCACCATGCCCCTTCTTAGAGCCTCTACT